CAAAGGACGGGAAACAACAATCGCCTTCTCCAAGCCATCCACCGCGCTACGAGCTTCACGATCCCCGCTCTTACTTCCCCAAAGCTTCTCTTGGTGCGGGGCTTGGCCAGTCCGGCGCCGACGATCCCTTCGTCCTCCACCACCGACCTCTGACCCGAAACCAAGCATACCAGTCATGATATCCTGAGCCTCGAATCAGCTTGTCTCGGCGAGGAAGAGATCTTGTCCCAACACCACCAAGCTCCCGTTGGCGCGCAGTGGCCAGTATCGGGCCTTCCACCTGTCTTCTCCCGTTCTGCTCCTGACTTCCGTTACACACTTCGGTTCTTTACCGGAACAAACACCATCACCGGGCGAGCTTGCTGTTCATCTGGATCTTGTACCACCGCCCTTCAAGACTGGCGACCCTGATTTGCTCTTGTTCGTGGCCCAGGCAGTTCAACCGCCGTTGCGCCACCCCTCGATCCTCTAGCCCCTCCTATCCCGGCGCGTGTCACCTTGACCGACACCAAGTGCGACGTGACCCTACCGAGGCCGGAGTCCCCGTTCGCAAACCGGTCCATCATGACTTCGGTGCTCCCATCACAGTCTACCGATATTAAACCCTCCCTTTCAGACTGTCGCCCAGACGGAGCCATGCCTCAGTTTCAGGAGCCGACGCCTCCGCACAATATCAAGCAGGAAGATGAGCATGAGCGCGGCCGTCGTCGTAGTCGATCTGATGATAAAGATGTCGAAGGGCTTGATCTAGAGGATATGGAAGACGGTGATGGAAATGGGAACGATGCCCACTCATCCAATGAGGAAGGGCCCGCAAGGAAACGACGCAGAAGCCGTAAAGGTCTGGACAAGAAGTTTGAGTGCCCTGAGAAAGGTTGCGGGAAAAGTTACTCCAGGGCAGAGCATCTGTACGTCGGCCCTTGTTTATACGCAAAACTTAACGCTAACTCTTGCTTTGATAGTTACCGACATCAGCTGAACCACAATCCGAAACAAGTATATAAGTGCGGAATTGGTGATTGTCAACGCACTTTCGTGAGGCTTGACCTTTGCAACCGTCATAAGGAGCGCCACACAGCTAAAGGATCAGCATTGAGCAGAAAAGACTCCTTGATGTCCCAAGCCTCTCCCACGACAGACGGCCGTCCTCCTTTTATGGCTCAGGGTTCCGCATCCCCAGAGATAAACCGTCCGGGTAATGGATACCCCAAAGGCAGGCCGCTTACCATGCAATTCAACTCACCCAAAGATGCTATGGGAAGCCCATATACGCCTATGGCCGCCAGCGCACCCACAAATGGTTACTCGAACGGCGTTGACTACATGCAGCATGATGCTCACTATCAGCACATGACAGGACAAAGACCCCTTCAACACTCGCCGCCTGGACCTCAGCGGCCATCGGTGCAGACGAATGTTGGCCCTTACGGGGTGTTGTCTCCTGTTTCTACGCAGCCGGGGTATCATAGTCATCCCGTGAACACACCTCAGTCTGCGGTTCCATATGTCACGCCGCAGAATTTTCCTCCTTTTAGTCTACCTCCATCAGACTTTGCTACGTCGTCTCCCGCAGCCGTTGCCCAACAGCAAGCTTATGCGCCCTTAACAACTGCAGAGTCTTTCGATCACCACCCGCAAGATACTGGGGAGGTTGTGCGGCTGGATCAGATGAGTATGCAGCAGACAATGCCAGTCTTCGGCACTGACAGCATCCTCAACAAGTCACCATATGTCGGAATGCCCGAAGATTTTATGGCCTACCTGTTCAACACACATGGTGAAGGATCACCCACCGTAGTTCCTGTTCAGGGGCTAAAGTAAGTATTATCTGAAAACACTCTTCGTGCACTTTGCTAACTTGAGGCTAGTTATGGAGAGTTCTCTACCAACCAGTATCCGTTCTACAATGACCCCAGTCAGATGGGCTACTTCCCACAAATGGCCCCTCAACAAATTATGTCCGTTGAGAACCTTTTGGACCAAAATCTCCCCGAATCAGTAATTTCCGATCTGAAGAGCGCCGAAATATTCGAACTTATCAAGGAAAGGTTCCACGAAAACGGCCATGCCCCGATTGAGAGGCAGCGCGACGAAATTCTCGAGGGCGACCGCAACGACGAGAACCACATGTTGAGTCGGAAGATGATGCAAGCCTATATCGTGTCTTACTGGCTTCACTTCAGCGACCAGATTCCCATTCTTCACAAACCTACCTTCTCTCCCGACAAAACACCAAATCTGCTCCTGATCGCTATGATGACCATTGGCGCCGCTTGTCTGGATAAGGCATACGGTCAGAAAGTTACCAAGGCGGGCGCCGAGCTGTCCAACTTTTTAGCCTGGCATCTAAGATGGGAGATGTTCCAGGACCCCAACTGCCGGCCGCCAGCCAAGCTTTGGGTGTTCCAGACGCTCCTGCTTCTCGAGCTATATGAGAAGATGTACTCGACAAGAGAACTGCACGAGAGAGCCCATATTCATCACGCAACGACTATCACGTTGATGCGTCGTGGTCGAGCTTTGATCGGCAAGTCAGCTTTGGACTCTCCCCCGAACCCAAGATATGACAAGACCAACGGTTCGAGACATTCGTCAACATCCGGTATGGCTCACACACCAGACGAGTGGTGGAACCATTGGATCACAAATGAAGCGACTCGACGTGCAGCATTTGCAGCCTTTGTCATTGACTCCATCCATGCTACCATGTTTGGCCACTCGACCGTCATGGTTGCCCATGAGATGCGTTTACCACTACCGTGCGACGACAAGCTCTGGAAGGCGAAAAGTAGCGCAGAAGTGGGAAAGATCGAGGCGGAGCTAATGTCGCAAGGCAAGCCGATAGGATTCCTCGACGGGCTCAAGCGAACATTGAACGGTCAGACAGTGCAAACCAACTCATTCGGCCGCACCATCCTCATGGCGGGTCTGCTTAGTGTTAGCTGGCACATGAACCAGAGAGACCTCCAGGTTAATTCCCTTGGGGCTACCACGGCTCTTGGAGGTCGCGACAAGTGGCGGACCACGCTTACCCGCGCGTTCGATTCCTGGAAGAAGGAATTCGACAGGGCTCTGGAGGAAAGGCGAGGCGACATGGCTGACCCTTATTTCTTCGGAGTCAGGGGTAATGAGACCGATGTGGTATTTGAAAGCCGTGTAGTCCTGCACCACTTGGCTCACATGGCCATGCACATCGACATTGTAGACTGTCAGATCTTTGCCCGAGCCAAGCGCCTTCTGGGCAGAGCAATCGGCGCGCAAGATCTCAGCAGCGCTACACGTCGCATGAAAGACCAGTGGGCTCCCTCAGCCAAAGCCCGCGACGCAACCTTTTACGCCCTGCAATTCTTGCAATCCGTCTTGCTCCCCACCGGCTCCGGCTCTCCCCAATCAAACGGCTACAGCAGCCATATGGATGAAGAATACTCGGCCCGCGACGACGTTCTCCTCAACCGGCCCTGGGTCCTGTACTTCGCCGCTCTTGTGGTGTGGTGCTACGGCTATGCTTTGGAGGGTGCCTGTCCCGGGCTGCCCATGCCGGCTACCCACCAGGATGCCGTCCGCCAGATGCGCGAGTACCTTATTAAGTACGGCAGTATCCAGTCACCGGAGGACCTCAAGTCGATGAGGGGCATCAACCAGACCACGGCGCTATTGGTCGTGTTGAAGGATACGTTCCGGGTGACGAGGTGGGAGTTGCTTCATGAGGGCGCGACACTGTTGAATAATTGCATACATTTGAATGCTGGCGCGAATGTGGCTTAATAGCAGTCTTCGGGGCTCTTACATGTCGAGTTTTGTGCGGTTGGCATTGCATTGGCGGAATCAGTGCGCAAATGTGTCGGCGAAGGAGCGATTTTGGCGGTGGAAGGCGATGATGATGTATTTCCCCTATACATGTTGATGAAGGCACGAGCTGAGATGATGACATGGCGGTACATGAAAAGGGACTGAGCAGTATACGAGGGGACGTTCGTTGCGTTTTTCTTGAAGGGTTGTTATTCTTTCACCACACATCCTTCACTTCATCTATACCCCAGCTATATGTTTTGTGGTTTCATTTCGCGGTCTTATTTCTCATTTTCTCTCAAATGGGTGGCTAGCGCTGCGTTTCCATCTGATTATATAATAAAGCACCTCCTCACTGCACTTGTCCTCGGCTTTTATTCCAAGTGTTATCTCCGATTTGCGGCACTGTTCTCATGACGAAAGCGTTTGCGTGGTACAATGACGGATATGATCATTCCATCCCCTCCGATTCCCGAGGGGCACATTGATAACCTATCCGGGAAGTCAGTTGGGGAAACCCCTCCTCAGTCTATCTTTCCGCAACCGCGACGAGACACCTTTTTTTGACCTGATGCGTTTCTATTTGCTGCATTCTATCGTCCCTTCGGTCATAACATTGCTCGGGCCGCGGTTGCATTGCGGTCTGCAGAACGCACCTACCTAAATGTATGCCTCGCGTGCATTTACGATCGATCGTCTGTTCCTACTTTCTCCAAGGCAACCCGTGGATTCTGCCAATCATCCAAGCAAGTGAAGCTCACCTGAGGAAGGTGGTAATTATCACCTCACAGTGATCGAAGCTCGAATTCTCATAAAAAGTTTAATATCAGAACATCATTCTTCTTCCTTCAAAACATTCGATCACCTTGCCAGAGACCTCGGTCGAGGGATTGCCAAACGACCCTCCTCCTCGCCTAACATCTCATCATTGTTGGTCCAGCATCACCAACGTATCTTCTCCTGCAAGCATCTTTACACTTATTATACCTCGCGGTTACTTATCTAATCTCACATTACATTACTCCTTCATTCTTTCCGTCTTCCGTTTCTTGCCGACCTCACTACCTCTAGAAATTCTTACCGGCCTACCTACTTGGCTCCTATACTCGCTCCTTTCTTGACCTCTCACAACTAGTACTTGAAGATACTACCCCTTTCCGACGTCGACTAAGATCAGTCACTTGAAGCGAAACAAGTAATCGCAAGTCAACATGGTGCTCCTCACTCAGCTTCCCTCGGAGATCATCAACAACATCTTTGGCTATGTAGCGCCCGACGATTTACCCAGTATCCGAAGCATCTGCCGACGGTTACGGGGACATGTCAAAGGAAATGCAGTTCTACATCGTGACATTTATTATCGGTACTTGGTATGTACTACCAATTTGCCGACTTCTTCATCCTCTCCTCAGACCTGATGCTGGCTGACACTACACAGGACGAACCACCAGAGGATGTGGACTGGGAGCAGAGCCTCAATGATCTGGTGAAGTTGCGCAGACTGTGTGGACGGGAGTATTCGGTAAGGTCTCACAACGACGATAGCATGCTGTGAAGGGTTTAATCATCAAGACATGCTTCTTTTCCATGATGATTTGCGTTGCCAGCTTGCTAACATCCCAAACAGAACTTGGAAATCTCATGTCCCAACATACACATGCCCAAAATGGCCTTCGTCCACCACGCCGTAACCAAACTACTCAAAGCCATTCCTCCATCCTCTTCCCTGTCAACCCGCGGCGGCGGCAGCGAGCACAGCACCCAACAGCCAGTCTCCTCCTCCTATCCCCCCTCGCGAAACGCCGCCATACTCTCGCACCTCTTCTCCAAAGAATCCGTCCGCAACGCCTTCCTCCAGGGCTCCCAGCTCTACGAGCGCGCCCACTGCTTCGACTACCTCCCCATCCCCATGCGCACCATCATCGACCTCGAGCGCTCGCGCTACATCCGCATCCCCGTCTACATCGAGTACCAGCAACAGTCCGCCAAGATGCACTGTCTCTTCGGCGTCGGCGTCCAGGCTCCTGCTACTTTAACACTGCCCAACAACCCTGCGCTTTCATCCTCGCTCAACCTGAACCCCTATCCTCCTCCCACGCCGGGTACCAACGTACACGCCACCCCGCCGAGCCCGCCGCTGCCTACCCGCGACGGCCAGATAAGGTCGGCCTTCTTTGGGAGAACCTCGCTTGTTCCTCGTCTTTACCCGTACGCGGTGTCGAAGGTGTACGACCTCCGCGAGTACACCATCAGAACAAAATGGGGACCGTTCCGCGCGGACGGGAGCGGGAAGGTGGATTGGGAGAAGATGGAAGCGATTTTGCTCGTGTTGAGGACGAATATCAAGCTGAAGGAGCTGGACAGGATCCCGATGGTGGGGAATGTCTGGAACACGCCGTTTGCGGGGTGTTGGGAGGGGAGTTTGTGTGAACTGCCGAGAACGGGGAGCAACTCGAGAGATGGGGACGGACAAGGAGGGCAAGGTCCGATGGGGGTGGGGAGTGGGTATGGCGGTTGGTTTCTGTGGGGGAATACGCATGAGGATTGGGATTCGGATATTGCAAATGATGGGGCTGTGGATGACATGGAGGAGGAGGACGGGGATAGTGAGGATGGGGATTTGGAAGAGGAGGAGGATGATAGGGATGTCCACTTGGAGATGGCGGATCCGTATGGGGTCTCGGGCGTTTGGTTGAGGGTGGTTTGTTTTCTGGGTGAGTCGTGCCTTCACTCTGGCTTATGTTGTGATCGAAGATATGATGATGGAACTTGCTAATGCATCATGCAAAAGATTACACCGACTTCTTTTCATTCAACTTCCCCGACGATAGCATGCCCTGTCCCGAGAGCATGCCGAGACCGCCCTTGGACGTGGGCGAGGCAACCAAGTTGCTCATGATGAAGATCAATGTCACCAGAATCATCTACCCCGAGCCAGGCACGGGACATCCTGAGATCAACGGAAAGATCTGGCCCATCGTACACTGGAAGGGTTATGCTCGGTCGTTCGACGGGTCTCCCGGAGAGGCGCGTCTCACTTGGGGCCTGAGAGGTGAGTTCATGACCCAGATAATTTGGACCACATAGATATCGTATGCTGACAGCGGCAGTCGCAGGGGTCGTTCAAATGACACCCGAGGGCGAGGTCCGGTGGACGACGTCTTCCCTGTATGACGGCGAGGAAAGATGGCGGAGCGAGGGGATCCAGATCGGGGGTATCAAGTCCGCTCGCGGGGTGATTGGGAACTGGTTTGACAAGTATGATATCATGTTCCCCCTTTCTCGGCTTTTCTGGATACTGACCACGTTTTTGGCAGGGATTACAATCCTCATGGGCCTTGCGGACCTACGGCGTTTTGGAAGATCTCGGACCTGGAGGCTGCGCGGCCGCGGGGCGGTCACGGCGGTCAGCAAGGGCCATAGCAGGACTTGCTACCTCTTTGTATGTCTTTCTTGGAACTGTGAAGCATGAGATGGATGGTCTAAGATGGCTAACCGTTAACATCAGTATGGCATCAAGTGAGCTTCGTGGGAACGGGATCATATTGAACACACACCTGCCTTGCCTTGCATTTCATCATTTCCCCTGCATATTTGTGTTTTGTGTCTGTAACTACTACCATATCTGCCTGCAAATACTACAACAACACTCTCATCTCATCCTCTCATCTCAAATCTTGCTAACCTCCGGATCAGTATTAACCTTGCCATGCTCACAAGTAGCCACCAACGCCCCATCAGTAGCCCTCCTCATCTTCCCGCTCAAGCTCGCCATCCTCTTACCGATAGCCACAACCTCGCACTCGATAAAGATCTCGGTCCCCACGGGAATGGGCCGCAAATACGTCGTGTTCAAGGTCCTGCTCACCCCCAAGTAATACCAGAACCCGGGCTTGGAGACAAGGGCTAAAGGCATGGTGGTGCAGTAGTCAAACAGTGTCGCGATGCACCCGCCGTGCAGGTTGCCTAGGCGGTTGCAGTGTTGCGGTTGGACCGTGTACCGGAAATAGGTCTTGGGGTGGGGGAGGGAGGGGTCGGAGGAGATTAACTTGAGGAAGGGGATGAGGGAGGTTGTCCAGTCCTGCTGATTATGTTAGAAGGTTTGTTTGGAATTTGGAACTTGGGATGTGTATGTGGTGATGTGGTGATGTGGTGATGTGGTGGTGGTGATAAGTCAAGATGGTGGTGGTGCTGAATGGCAAGTGAAGTGAAGTGAAGTTGGTAGGTGAATGACGCACATGATCGCCGCTATCACCGCTAGAAGCTTTCTCGAGTTCTCGTCGGTTCAGTTCGAGTATTCGTTGTTCGCCCGTGTATTTTAGTAGACTTGGGTCGACGGTACTGCTTGGTCCTGCACTTCTTGAGGGTTGTTGCTGTTGTCGTTGTTGTTGACTTTGCTGTTGTTGTTGATGTTGATGTTGATGTTGATGTTGATGTTGATGTTGTTGACCACCACCGCTCTTTGGCGGTGCCGCCGACCCCTTTCCTTGTTGTCCTCCTTGACCGACTGCCATCTTTTGTTGGTCTGGCGATAACGAAACAACGACGACTTCAGATGTCTTTACTGGGCGATGATAGGTACGGATTGTCATTTTTGGACGGGACGGGAAGGGAAGGAATAAATGTATGTATATTGAAATTGTGGCTTGCAGCTGAGTAGTGTTACTGCGCGGGCGGTTGTAGATTTCCGTTGTCGCCGCGGTGTTAGTACCCGACCACCGGGCAACGAACACCAAAACAGGGAAGTGTAATGTATGGATGGGTGTATGTACCGGTACAGTGGGATTGTGAGAGCGGGAAACAAAACACTGAATGACAAAGTGACAATTGAAAGCTGAAAGAAAGGTTGAAAACCAAAAGAGGGGATATGCCTGCCGTGACTGTCACAGGGGCTAACCGCCCAGCCGCCCAGCCGCCCAGGTATCCATTACAATTCTTGGGGTACATGAACAGCCTCGGCTACCTATCAAGGTCCACGATAAGATGGCGGGCAAGTAAGCATGCGCCTGAGTTCAGCTGAATTGACCCTGGAGGGAAGAGGGGGTCAAATAACAGGGCATTCAACAGCTTGCCGAAAGTCACGTTAAGCGACTAACGGGAACTTAGAAAATATACGCCTGTACATGTACTGTTAACGCAATAGCAGATTTCATCAACGGCCTTTTAGGAAAAAGTTCCGTTGTAGTTCCGTTGTAGAGGTCTTTGAGAGGAAAAAAAAAGAATTCTTCTCCAAGGTCCTTATCCAAGGTCCCATCTTCTCCAAAGTCCCATCTTCTCCAAAGTCCCATCTTCTCTAAGGTCCACAGTCACGATGTATCATCTTAGACAGCACTTTTAGGAAGAGAAGAATAGAAAGAAATAACATAGTCACGATTCGAATTGGAGGTCTACGAAATATCTACGGCTATTACTACTACTACGGTATATGAACATTCACGCGCGTACGTGTATACGCGAGTAGTAGGAAAGTAGGGCTTATATAGTGGCTTTGAAGGTTGAGGAGGAAGGAGCGAGGACGAAATTGGAAAGAGGGAGAGCGAACATTGAAAAGAACAACGACTAGAACGGGGAGCAGAACAGGACATTCCATTACAACGGGATAATCAAATAGAAACTTCTAACGAAACGAACTTGATTTTTCCGCTTCGTGGGAATTCGTAGCCGAAGTTAATGTACAATATCGTTCTAGAAAGGAGCCGCTGTTAACAGCCTAACGCTCTACGAGTGCCCCGTTATTTGACCCCCTTCTTCCTCCAGGGGAAATGTCCACTCACAGTGCTAGGAAGTGCCACTTTTGATGCGTTGCGACAGGCATCCACTCCTCCCCCCCCTTGTTCAACTTCCAGGAGGTCCAGGTCCCATCGCCCCGTTCCCGAACCGCGGCCCCGTCTTCAATTCATCCCGATTGCATCCCGTCCCCGTGAAACTTGACAACGACAACCAACAATTCATTGACGGATCATCCGACGACGACATCGCGCCGACGGCATACATCGAGAAAAGGCAAACTCCGTAATTGCGCAACGACACCGGAACCCGAATCTCGAACCCAACCTCCCCCTACAAACCGGCGGGGAGCCCATCCCATCCCATCCCATCACATCCCGCCCCCCAAGCATAATAACCAACCACAACCACAACCGCCACCACAATGGAATTCGTCACCGCCCTCCGCGGCACCTTCGACGACGGCAAGCCCTCCCTCTTCGAGCTTCTCTCCGAACAACAGCTCGCCTCTCTCCTCCCGCCTACGCTCCGCTACCTCCTAACCGTGCTCACGCACCGCTACCCGCGCCACCTCCTGCGCATCCTCAACTCGTTCGACGAGCTCTACGCCCTCGCCGGCCTGTTGGTGGAGCGACACTACCTCAAAACGCGCGGCGGCTCCTTCACCGAGCACTTCTACGGCCTGAAGCGCGAAAAGGCGCTTGCCGCCGAGATCCCTCGCGCCGCTTCTTCGGCGCCCAACGTGGTGCGTGACGCACTGAAACTAAGCGATGCGGACATCTGGAAGAACCTGGCGGTCATGGTCGGGATCCCTTACTTAAAAAGGAAGCTGGATGAGGCGTACGAAGTCGACGCGCCGCGCGCCATGCTGGGAGGCCAGTACACGCGGCCGCCGGCGAAAGGAGCCAAGATGAAGGAACGGTTCCTGTATTACTACCGGTGGTTTCTACGGAACGTGTACCCGAGCCTGAACGCGGCGTATTACTTTGCCATGTTGGCGTTTAACTTGGGGTATTTGTTTGATAACACAAAGTACCATAACCCGTTCCTGTGGCTGATCGGGACGAGGGTGCGGAGGATGAATGGAGCGGATTATCAGGCTATTGAGGCTTTGGAGAAGGCGGTTGCTAAGGGTGGTGCACCCAGGTCAGGGGGGTCGATGCTAAGCCCGAGGAATATGGGCCGACGACTAGTGGGTGGCTTGTCGCTGGTGCTGCCGACGAGTATTTTCGCGCTCAAGTTCCTCGAGTGGTGGTACGCGTCGGACTTTGCGAAGCAGCTGAGTCGCAAGGCGGCCGAGAGTCTGGACCTGCCGCCGCCGACGGTGACGGGCTTGGTGGAGGCGCAGGCGAGGAATAAGCCCAACAAGCCGAAGATCACGAGGACGTCGGAGGATGGGGTGGAGGAGAAGGCGGACGATGAGGCGGAGGAAGGTGGTGCAGAAAGCAGCGATAGCAAGGAGCCGACGCCGGAGACGGCGCCCATAGCGGCTTCGACCCTGTTGCCGATTTTCACGGTGCCACCGCCCAAGAGTTCCGATCTCTGCCCCATTTGCGAGGACGAGATCCAGACGCCGGCGGCGTGCCAGACGGGTGTGGTCTACTGCTTTTCGTGCATACACAAGTGGATGAGTGGGACGCATGCCAGGCAGGAGAAGTTCATGACCAAGGAAAGGGAGGGCAAGTGGGAGAGCGGAGAGGGGAGGTGTGCGGTTACAGGAAGGAAAGTGTTGGGAGGGACGGAGGGGTTGAGGAGGATCATGGTCTAGTTGATGAGCTGACTCGGCTCTGGGGAAAGTTTAATGGATAGCATCGGATCGGGCATGAATTGTAAAAGTGAACGTTAGACATATTTAATGGCATATATAATTTTGCAGTTGGGTAACAAGTCACACACAGACTAATATCCTAGATCAGTATGAAGCATCGGATCTCGATCGACCATTACAACAGTTTCCTTGTCGTGCAAAAAGGGGGGGAATTGGGGATTTGAGGAAATTTACATGGATCGATCACTCACAAACATGACGACGACCTGAAGGAAAAGAGAAAAAGAAAGACGACCGACACCACTTCAGTGAAACAACGATCCGAAACTCGCAAAAAGCAAAAGAAGATGCGGTTTGTGTGGATCGAACACACGACCTTCAGATTTATGAGTGAAGTGGACTTCAGTCTGACGCTCTCCCAACTGAGCTAAACCCGCTTATTGTTGGATAGACAGTGGAGAAGCTTCGCTTATAAGGTTGCATGCACTTCGAGAGTACGTACCATGCTTCTGAACTTTGCAATTTCCTATCTCCTTCAGTTCCTATCTTCTGCCTGTGTCTTTCTTTCGTGAAGACGATCTGAGGTAACTAGCTAGATTGTAGACAACTACGCATGCGCAGTGCTTCCTCGTGGTAAATTGCATGATCGTTAGGTAAACCTCCTGCGAGACGTCACGGTATTGGACTCCCACTGTACTGTGACCATAACATTGCCTAGCCAGATAATCCTACCGACGGCCGCCAGCAATTGTTCCCCTTATCTGCATACAGAAATCCCATACCTTGACCGTGTGTATGTATATATGATGGGATAGCCGCAAGGAGTATTAAGGGGTATAACCATGCATGGCATAAGTGTAAGAATAACAAAGCTCAGAAACCCATATATATAGAAAGAGAAGAGTGATATGGATGAGTAAAAGTGGAAGCAACTCATCAAGATGCGCAAGAGTATCCGTATAAACTCGCAAGATCTAGAATCCAGGACAGTCCGGCAACGTAGGATTGGAAGAGTCCGCCATTGACGTCAAATCCTGCGTTACCGGACTGTCCTGGATTCCGGATTCCGCGAGTTTACCGTACTGTAGCACATAATCCTCCCAAGTTTCCGTTGCCCTTCCTTCTCTAGATAAGCTGACTGCAAGACCACCACCCTGATTATCATCCTGTCTTGACCCGAGTAAGCGGGAGAAAAACAACCCAAGCAAAGCGGAGAAGAGAAGTCGACGTCCATAGCCCGTCTACATGTTATAATCTAGCCGAGCCTGTTGTAATATGTTCCCATCGCGCCTTATAGGTAACGCCATGCCATAGTATTGACCCAGCCCGGACGCAAAACTCCTCTTGCAAAACCCGCGCATGATCCGATCCGTCTATCCCGTCTTTGAAGTGGAAAAAAAAATGATAATAACGAAGCGACCACCCATCCATCCATCCCTCCATAAACCGCATCGAGGCAAGTCAAATAGATTCACTTGAAAAGACTCCTCAAATCCATCAACCTCTGCTTCGCCGCATCCGTGCGATCCATCACCTGTCCCTTATCCCTACCATCCATGCTCAAGCTCGCCAGCTTCTTCTTCTTCTCCTGCAGCCTGAGCATCTTCTCCTCAAAGCTGTTCGCCATGATATACCTGACCGTCCGTACGGGCCGCTTCTGACCGAGGCGGTGCACGCGGTCGACAGCCTGCGCCTCCGCCGCCGGGTTGAACTGCGGCTCCATCACGTACACGCTGCTGGCGGTGGTCAGGTTCAGGCCGAGACCGCCGGCCATGATGCTAACGAGAATAACCTGTACCGAAGGGTCCTCGCGGAACTTGTCCATAGCTGCGGTGCGGGCTGTGCGCGTCATCTTGCCGTCGAGGCGGGTGAAGGTGATGCCGGCGTCATTGAGGGCGAGTTCGATGAGATCGAGATGCGAAGTCCAACCGGAGAAGACGACGGATTTGTACGTCGGCTCGTGGGGCGCCGCCTCGCTCTTCTGCTTGTCGGCCAGTAGCTCGGCAACGAGTGCGCGAGTCTTGGTGTGTGGTCCTGAGTAAGCGGTGAGGTCTTTGTTTGCGTCTCCGTTCTCGACCTTGGCGGTTCTCGATTCATGTTCGGCCATAGCACGGGCACGGTGGAGTTCTATGCAACCAGGCCTGGTTATGCCCGAACATGTAGAGCACGCTTCGTTTTTGATGTGGTCGACGCATTTGTTGCAGTAGACGTGGTAACAGTTAGCCTTGACCATGTATCCGACGATATCCTCCTGACGCTCAGATTCGAGGTCGACCACCTCGTTGGAACCCAGCTTAGTGTTGCACCTAGCACAGTTGTCGCTGTTTCCTTCCTGCATCAGGTAGAGCATCTCGTAGGCCTTGCTTTCAGATAGGACAAGCTGGGCTTGATCATCGTCACTATCGAGATCAATAGCCGTGTCTGCCGTCATTCCCTGGAGCTCTTTGAGGTCATCTTCGTTCAGAAGATCTTTGCCGTGAGCACAAATAAGGCGAAGCTGCAAGATGGAACGCAAGATGTGGATCATTGTCTTGCCTCCAATAATGCGTTCCTGACCGATGGCTTGACCGGTCAAAGTCGCCACTCGCTCCTTTGCGGTTTGTGCAAACCAGTCATACACCCGTTTCTCCTCGGGCGTGAAGTCAAGCCTAATGATCTCGTCAGTTCGTGGCGGAAGGTTGATCTTGTCCTTCAAGCGACGCAACGTTATTGTGTCGATGAGAACGCGAAGCTTCGGCACGATTTCGGGATCGGCGTTCTTGAACGGAGCAATGATGTATTGCAAGAATTTGATCTTCTCATCAAAGGGCTTGACGCGCAGGAACGCTAGAAGCGAGGCCAGATCCTCGAGCTTGTTCTGGATCGGCGTACCAGTGACAGCCCAGCGGCGGCTTGCTTGAAGCCGGCAGATTGACTTGAACGCCAACGTGTTTTGCTCTCGGATCATATGTGCCTCATCTAGCACGATGCGGAACCAAGCCATCTCCTCCAAGGGGTATATGCCTGCCTTGTTTTTGGCGCGGGCGTTGAGTTCGCTTGAGATCGATCCGTAGGTCGTGATGACGAGGTCGTACTGGGCCAGTTTCTGCACATCCTTCACACGGTTAGGACCATGGTAAATGTGGTAAGACAAGGTGTCGGGTTTGATATGCTGCTTGATCTGCTCCTCCCAGTTCGTAACCGTGCTCAATGGGCAAACCAAGAGCGTTGCCTTTCCATTCAATCGCACCGGCGTTAGGCCCATAGCTTGAGGTTTGGGCACCTCAAAGTACCTAGCTGCATTGGGCTGCTTCTTCTCGGGCGGCTTCGGCGGTTGAACAGGAGCTTCAAGGCTCCAAGCCGCAGCCTGATCCATGGTCTTTGTAAGGAGTGACAAAATACTCAACGTCTTGCCGAGACCTAGTTGAAAGAGTCAGTTTCAAAATCGGGAAAATTCATATCTTGGATGAACTTACCCATCATATCCGCCAGAATACCTCCCAAGGCTGGCGGCGGACGCTCTCTCTGGCTTTGCATAGTGACGACGTTGTAATAAAAATCTACTCCGCGCGCATCCTTTCTGCGCTGCCAAGTGGACCGTGTGAGTTTATCACCATAATCCTGAATCTGGTCTTTCTCACGTTCAGTCATGAAGTAAAGGGCTTGCTTTTGGTGCTTAAGAAGCTCAGTGGTAATACGCGGGTCGGGCTCCATCTGCTCCAAGCTCTCGGATTTCGGGAGTGAGTCAAAGACACTCATCACTTCGCTGCGAATCTCCTCAACAGTACGGGCGGTTGCCGAATGGTGCAGAGAATAGGAATTTGTTCCACCCAAGCTGTTAGCTCGGACCGGAGGGGCCGGCCTATTCTCCTTCGCATGAGGGTTGAAGACCTTGATGCCAGGCTCGACGCGTGGCGGGCTGAGAAGGGCAAGATGATGTCTAGCCAAGTGGTTTCCGATCTGGATCGCAAGCTTGCGAGGGCCGTAAAGCATGAGCTCGAAAGGGACTGCCGCCGAGATTGCCTCGCCAGTTTTCTCGTTGGGGTTGCTCTTACGTCTTGGCGGGATCCTACAATCAGTACGTATTCCCATAGCAGATGTCAGGAGGTTTCCCAGACAATACGACGTCTTAGCGTCAAGATACCCAAAGATGACGCGAGTGCAATCGTAAGCAGGAATTCTATTCGTGTCGGTGTCATCCACTCGCTTCCTCAGTAGGATTTTGATCTGCGGCCAGTAACCCTCGCCAAGAAGAGAAACCATACCAGGCTTCGGAGCAGGGACCCGGTGGCAGTTGATAGTAGTTCCCTCGATCATACCGTAGCAAACTTCTTCATCTTTGGTCAGGTCGAGCTGCTGTCGGGGTTGAGCAGTTTCTGAGTCGCCATCCGTCAAGTCGACTGTCTCAGTTTGCCTCGTCATCATGGCCACTGGCGTCGAAGCACCTGATGTGCCATTCTGTCTGACCTCTTCCGCAAGCAATCCGCTGCTGGCCCCTCCAAACGTGTTTGTACGCAAATGGTCATTTTCGTTGTACGTCTTTCTGCGCTTCGGCTGGGGCACAGAGATGCGGTCTTGGACATTGTGGAGTCGTTCAACCTGAGGACCGAAGCCGTTTTGGAAAATGGGAAAGGTTGGCGTGTTGCGCACATGACCATGCAGGGTGGCGCCATAAGGCAGGCCGGAGAAGTCGATATTCAGCGGCTGGTCATTAGGACTTGTGAACTGAAAGGTCGGGCTTGAAGGCACACTCTGAATCTGATGTGCAAATGATGGTTGCTGAAATGAAGGGGATGCCCCAGACTGCGAGGTTAAGTCTGAGGTTGAGGAGGCAGCAGATGAAGCTTTGGGGTTCAGGAGCGCTTCCGGGTTCCACGACATGCTGTCGAGCTGCCGCGATACTGTAGCGAGCGATGTGTGTATTTTGCCTGATTGTTGTTGTCAGCACTGGATAACGTTGACAATCGCGTGAGGCAACCCAAAAGGTAAAGCCAGCGGAAAAGGAAGAAAAAAACAGCCTGGCAAATATTGAAAGATCCTTGTTTGCAAGAGGAAACGAGGGGGCCTGATTTGTGAGATGAAAAGTGAAAGTTGGAAAATAAAAGAGGCGGGGAGGAAGAGAGAAATCAACAGGTTCGCGGTTATCAAAGTACCCGCACCGCACCGCAGGGTAAGTAGCGCACTCGCAGCGGCGTTAACACCGGGGATCTAGATGGGTGAATGGGTCAAACTTACTGGCGGTTTAGTAGTGGTTCACCGTCGGTTCAGTCGTTTCAGACTTTCAGATGCCAAGACCGAGACGTCTATCTGAAAGTGGAATTTGATATTGCGTTGAGTTGTTCATGTAAGTTGTTGTCCAATATCCGGTGTTCAGGGTCCAGTGATTCCACTGAACGGGGCGAAAATATGCCGGCGACGTGCAGCCTGTGGTTAACCGTTCCCGCTGAGAGATGATGCAACGGCCACCGTCATCACAAGCACAAGAAGATCTTTTTCGCAGCGGCGTAACTCTAGCGGCGGCGGGAGGCTGAGGGACGATCCGGAATGTTGTGTTGTCTGAAGGTGGTGGTTGGTAGCAGTGGGGAGCTTGGAGAGGAGGCACAACAGGCGGATGAAGTTAATCTGGGTACCCGGTACCTCTATCTCTGCACCTCTGCGGCTGCCGCGCATGTATCAAACCGGTGTCGTGCAATCAAGTACCTGCCTGTGGCTTTTTGGTGGATGAAAGTAAGGCAGGATCAATCCCTTATGTGAGGGAGTGGCACGCGCAAAGTGAAGCTTTTCTGAAAGCACCGAAATATGTATCGTCAACAGTCCGCGCGCAGTGTGTCTGGGTCGTATTGATATAGCGATCGGATGCGAGATGCAGACAGGGTCTTGGTGAAGTCGGGTCTGTGCCAGCGGTCCAGGTCCAGTCAAGGTCCAGGCTGCTATTTTGAGTGGTGGAAGGCGGGTTCGTCTGCCGTTCGGTTCGGGTGTATGGAGGGGCAACTTCACCGCGCTTGTGAATTTGGCAAAGTGGAAGGAAACGAGAGGAGACTTGGAAAGGGAGTGCAGGTGTGAGTCGAAAAGGCAAGAATGAGAAATCTTGCCACTCCCAAATATGAGCAAAAACCGTTCAAAACAAGAAGGCCGGGGTATCTTAAAGAAACTTGCAACCAAGGCAAACGAAATATCAACAGACGAACTTTTGGAAAATTGTGGAAGCTGTATCTGACGGAAGCTTCCTTTATTCTGGACTTGTTATCGCGGCCCCCCGTTGGATGCGATAGGCGCGTGACCCTCACAGACTGGAGTAGATACGGCAGCACGTGCCACTAGACACTTTGTGCCCTGTAAGAACCGTATGCACTGCAAGTCACGGGGCATTTTAGCGCGACCTGTGCCTGGTGGTGGGCAACTCGTGGGGAGCAGCATTTACCGGTATTTACACTTCCGTCTCACCTGGGAGATTCGAGGCAGATGACTCTCATCCGTACCTTTAGCTTGAGATGACGAATTCGAGGCAAGGGGGCTCAAAGAGAAGCAGGTCAGGCAAAAAGAAAGTGCAGTACTAACTAACCTCTTCAAAATCAGTCATGACTGATTGCGGCGAATATCAAAGTTCACATGGTACTCAAGCGCAGACCAGCGTAGTTGATTCTTCCAATACCGTATATCACTTACACAACCCCTCGCAACTCAGCTGAGCTCAGCTCCAAGAAAGACTCCAACCCCACCATCCATGAGATAACCGGATAACATCATCAACTCAACTCCGATCCAAGACAACATGCCTTGTTTGAAGCAGACAACACTCTTTAGCTTGCCATGATTCCTCGCTTGGCGCGGGTATTTATGGAGGGTAATGTTCGTGTGAGATATCTCTGCGATCCCATTTTGGTATGATTATGGTGTGTCTCCCTGAAACAAATCGAGTACTACCCCAACATCGGACGTTAACTCGCACCGACACTCCTGAATCTTTTGAGATGAACCAGCCGTGCCACAGAACGCCGCGTATTATTTCCGCTTGCCTTGTGTTTCCCCAACTTGCGAATTTTGTTTTTCGGCAACCATACCCGAGAGGTAACATTGCGCGATTGGAGCCTTTGCAATTAGATTTCTTATTCCAGCTGAGGCCTCACCGCATTTTGAACCGCTTGGTTATCTAGTTGGTGGCCAAGGCAAAAGTCCTGAAAATGTTTACGTTATGGAATGCGCAGTCAAGGGTTCCTTGGCATTCGGGATTGCTGGCTAAGTTGTTTGATGACAGGTTGGATAGGATGAAAAACGTTGTGAACAATAACCCTCACCGATATGATTCATTGGGACGACAGGGACTTGTGGAACGTAATAGCCTGACCGGTGAGGTTCAGACTGCAAGACAAGAGATTATCAAATCGTCCCAAGACGCTCGGAGCTCCTGTCTGTGATGCAATACCTACGTCTCGAAGGAAAGAGTCGGCTAGATGTCAACTAGGTCGGGAAGTGTTTGGAAACTCGCCACACCATGGGGAGAGAAACCCTTTGGAATAGCATCACCGCAATGTTGCGATTTTCGCATGAGATGGATGACTTGGGTCGGCGGTGAGCGAGTGTTCGGTCAAGTAGCGAAAATGTTCTGTTCCTAATACCGTCTGGTTGGGACATGGTATTTTGCCATAACGTCTAGATGGACATGAACAGCCGTATGCGAATGCGCCTTTTCCGCCTAGCATCCCAGAGAGTGGACGCTTTTTCCTCAATGCGAGTCCGGTAGCCGCTGTTGCCAGCAGGTGTTGTTTTTCTCCAACACTAAATCGTAATATCATCCATCATACCTCCATCGCATGGTGTTTTTGCTCTATCCTTAGCCATCCGCCGCTCGCCTTTACTGGTTGTTGTACAGAGATGTAATATTAATACACTGAATCGAATTGGTATCGTGGGTTGTCAAGTTCCATGTATAAAGAGGGAGTCGAGTCGAACCGAGTTTCCGTAAAGCCGCATTGAGCCGGGAATGATTCTTCAATATCGTCCACCGCAGTCCATTCAGGCCTTGGTGCCCATAACCTCCTTGACGATCCTGGCAACAGTGGTCTTCTCGACATCCTTGCCATCGAGACGTCCGCCAGGACCCAGAAGCTTCTTCATAACCTCGCCCATCTTAGCATCAACACCCTCGGCCGCCAGCTCCGACTGAACCGCCAGGACCACATCCTTGAGCTCCGCCTCGTCAACAGACTGGACGCCGCTACCGGCAACGTATTCCTCGAGGACACGGATCTGCGACTCCTCCTTCTCGACAAGGTCACCACGGCCGGCGGCGCGGAACTGGTCAGCAGCCTCCTGGTAACCGCGGGCAGTCTTGCGGAGGAGGGCAACGAGCTGGGCGTCGGTCTCGATCGGCTGGGAGGTCTTGCTGGCGTTGAGGACAGCGGCAAGAACGGCGCGCAAAACGGCCAGGCGAGGGGCATCCTTGGCGCGCATGGCGGTCTTGAGGTCACCCTTCAGCTTAGCATAGAGAGGAGCGGGCGCCGGGGCTGCCTCGGAGGAGTAGGCCCTGATGGACTTGCTGGGGAGCTGCTGGGACCATCTTGTGGTGGTGACGGCGCTGCGGGTGAAGCGGCAGGTCTGGCGGGGAGTAGAGCGAGCGAGGAAGCTTCCGATGAAGCTGGCGGGGAGACGGGCGGCCATGATGGGTATGTGCGACTGAAGAGTGACGGGATACTCGTTCGAGGATGGCTGAAAGAGGGATGGGTCCGGCGGATGCAAGGAGGAGGGCAGTCGGTCGCCGAGGTGAAAGTGTCGAGGTTACAGCGGGGAGTTGAGCTGATAGCTTCCTGTAACAGACCTAATCGTCTAGTAAAATCCGAGATCTCAAATTCGATGATAGATGTGCTGTTGATTGGTTGCCCCAGAAATAAACTGGACCCTGTTGGGGGACGTAGTGATGGTCATTTTCTGAAAAAAATAACCAAATTCCCGAAATTATCGAAATTCAGAAAATATCGAAATTCCAAACCGAAAAATACGGCCCGTGCACCTCGCCACCAAACTGCCCTCACTCGAAGTGGTATCAACTGTCACAGGGCAAAGGTGCCTAGCTGTGACATGTGTTGTCTGCCTATATATCCATTGGGGAGTAGAGGTTAGGTTCCTATCTATTTCCCCAACTTTGCTCCCCAACGGGTAGTGCGTGTATTCGAGTTCTGTTTAGCGAACAGAACATCGATCCATCTTTTGGTGTTCTGGCGCAGGCATTGCACGCCTGCTCCGTGATATTAACTTCATCGACCTTATTGGCTACCCAAGATGAAGAGGTGTAATGATGTTTAACGAGTTATTTGGGAGACGAATCTTTGAAATCGTTTGAACTAAGGAGCCAAAAAACCTGGACCTGTTTAGCCGATGTTTGCACATCTCTTAAGCACTTACACCCTCACGTACGGAAAGCTTAGCGGAAATCATCATATCTTTTTCCTTACCTTTCCTTACTTTTCCGTTCCTTACCCTTGCCGTGAAATTCCCCCCCATTACTAGGGGGACGTACCCGGACTAGCCCGAAGCTGTTGATCGAGCTAACGACGATGCTACCGCCAAGGTGGGGGTCGCCCGGGTTAGGGTTGGCTTTTTGTAGGGTCTCTTCCTGAAGACGTAAATGTCAAGGGGGGATTATGATCGATGTAAGGCCTGTCGGTTTAACGGAAATCACCAAAATGGTGGTATCTTTTTTGTGAGAGACTGTGTTGCTGTCGGAAATGAGGCGGTCGATTGGATTGCCCTTGCTGTTGGTGTTGTGTTCTTACCTTGGTAGCCCGCAGCTGCATCCCGTCTTCGGACTTCCGATATGATGCACGGGCACTTCCTCACGGCAGAAACCTCCCGCAAGCAGATCCCGGACCGAACTTCTTCTCTGGCTGATGGGAAATTGCAAACCTGATATGGCGGTACACTTGGGAGAATCAAGGTTCCACCACATTGTAACCTTCAACATCCCGAGCGGCATCCCGAGTAACGCCGGAGACTTCAAAGCTAGGTATTCAGGGTCGGGTATTGCAAGGGTCGGAGCTCTTCCGGAGTGCCGGTCCCGCCAGTGGACTCCAATAGCCCCGTCACTTCACCTCTAGCGCTCGGCGATAACACACTCGTTTGACGTACCGGAATCGATTATTGCCCGGGCAGTCGAAGATTGTCATCCATATCCATGGGTGTCCCAGGTTATCGCAAGTCCCAGGCCGAGATGGCTTCCAGTCATGATGATGTATTGTCCGGAACCAGCCCAATGTGGATGTCGCTACTTCGACGTTAGATGCCGAGCGGGAGGCCTGTTGGTGATGATGACGCCAATGAAGGTGCAGGATGGGAGTACTAGTTTATGGAGCATTCGCTGCAGAACATTCATAAAGGGTACATTCTTGCCATGATTGAGTTCTCTCTGCACTGCAGCGGGGCTGGCACGGCTGGTATAATTTTTCGCTGTTTCGGACGTTAACCTCAACGAGCTTATCCCAACCGCTCGCTTTGTTGTAGTGACTCGTTCGGGCAAATCATCTCAGTTTCCGGGTCAAGTTCTTATGCTACCGACGGACGGAAAATATCTCGTTGAAACAATGGGACGAAGTGGAAGCCATCGATGGGAACTGGAGCGTAGACCGGCTGAATTGGTCTTTCCTCGTCGGCTCCCGTTGTTTGAAACCAGTTTGAAACCAAGGTAGCTCAATCTCACCACGTCCCGATCACTGGAATTGTTAACGCGCGTAATTTTCAGAATTCACGGAAGGAATCGATGATGAGTTCGACCTTTCAGCTACTTTGATTCGGTAATTGCCACAGGGTTTCTCCTTCCCTTAACCGATTCTGGCTATCTGAACTGGACAAGTCACCGGGGGAAGGAACGATGGGCAGACTTTTCGCCCGCTAGATGCTCTCTTGTCAAGGCAACAGCGCCCAAGCACTTCACCATTCCATCGGTCGACTCAGTTCCGCGCGTTGAGGTTTTCTTGGTTCTTTACTCCAATTCGCTTCCGATCCACTTCAACTTCCAACTCTTGCCTGCGACAGCGAGTGTCTCCCCATCCACGAACTCCACCGTCTTTGCCGCTGAGTTCTCGGGTATGATTTCCCCGAAATATATACGCCTAGGACTATTGATGAAATTTAGCGTGGGACGTGGGACGTTGGGGAAATAAAGGTGAGGGTTATGAGGTGCACCCTCGCACTTTCCCGGGCTCGCGGATTCAAATGTTCCGTTAGCATGAGTGCCGGGATGACATGGTGTAACTGGAAGGTGTGGTAGCATTGATTTTCGCGGAAGACCGCCCATCAACCTCTGGTCCGTATCATTCTCACCCATCTTTTCGGCACCGGGTCGCGTTTGTGCTTTTCCACTTAGTGTCAATTCCAGACGCGTTGGACATGGCCATGCTGCTGTTGTTCATCGCCATGCAAAACCCCTCGCCATGCAGAACCCCCGGAGGTGATCCTTTCATTTCGAAGCCCGGCTAAGCAGAAATAGAATGCAGGTGTCGGATCCTCTGACCAGGAGTTGATGACAGACTTCGGAGTGAGCAAGACAGGAGACTCAAGGTACCCATCTCGAGACAGGCTTCAATGCCGAGCCCGCTTCCTCGCATCGCCATGCTTCCTGTCCTTTGGCGGAACATAAGCGGTGTAGCTCGGCTGCCTGCTACCACCTGGTTTGCGACCTATACAGACATAGCTGCAGAGAAAGAGTCAGTCTCCCAATTTCGGCCATCATCAAATCCATCGGTTGTATTGGGGCGTCCACTTACACCGGAAAGTAAGCCTGATGCAATCGGTCAAGCTACAATCAGCACCTCTCCATTGACCCTTTGAACCCGAACTAGGGGAGGGGGGATCAGTTTACATACCTTGAAAGCTGGATTATCAGCTTCACTTCGAGCTTGCGCTACCAGGAGCTGAACGTCGGTTTGTGACATCCTTTGAGAGATCAGTAAGTCAAAGAGCCGTTGCCATCTCCATGACACTTGGGATATATGCTTACCCTAGAACCTGCGTGAAAGGATAGGCACAAAGAGAAGATAGCATTCGGTGGACGATGGGCCGGCTTGCTTCTCCGATGTTGTGGTCTCGCGGGTCTACAAAGTGCGTTAGACAGGGCGTTATACAACCACTGAGCAACTACCGGACTCACCATTCGACCACCCGCACAGGGGCAATGTCACAAGTCTTGTTTCCACTTCGACAAACCCAACCTCAGTCAACATTTGTTGCAATCGGAGAGGCGCTCTGGGGTCCTTATATGGCTGGACACTCTGCATGTAACTCTGAGACCACACCTGCAGAGCATGATCTTGAGCTTTGGGTCAGAACTGTTCAAAAAGCGCCTTGTTGGACGAGTCGACTCACTCGGTGTCAATGTCCCATTATCCGATTGGGCGTTGAAGTATATCTCAACCATTTGACACCAGCCTCCAGGGCGCAAAATCCTGAATACGTCGGTCAGGTAATTGATCCATCGATTGGCATGAATGCCGCCGGACATCAACCGACTGTGCACCAGGTCGAAGTGGTTCGAGGGGAATGTTGAGCTGTTGGCGTGTCAGTCTTATGGTTGTCGGACATCTCAGGCTCTCGGGCTGTCTCACGGACTGTTCAAGTCGTCGATCTGTAACTCCAGGTTGGCGGGCAAGTCCTCCGGCATTGGATACGGATATATATCGAGTCCGATCACCTATGTCTCCAAAGTCAGCAATGGGATAACGCGACCTATTGGCCCAAAAGAAGGCCTCCGGCTTTAACAGTCACCACATCTTTTCAGTCTGGGCTCAACGAACCTCGCATTCCGGATATTGCTCTGCAGCGTCAATGGCCCACGAAGCAGAGCCAGAGCCACAGTCTAGGATCCTCCGGGGGTGTGGGATAGGTGGGAAGATCAGTCTGTTCTCAAACATCAAGTTGAACAGCCCATGGATATACTGAAAGTACTCGATTTCGTCCTGAGCCAGTCATGGTTAGGTTGAAGCAATGGCAGGCGGGTGGACAACTCTCACATCGTCAACAGGGGAGAAATACACGCCATGTTCCACGGCATATCGTTGATATTCCCTGTTGTGGTGCAATATGACATCGCGGTATGTCTCGTCGACAGGAACTGTCTGGAAGTCACTATGTCTCGGTCAGTGACTAGAAGTGGGCTCTCAGTTGGGCAGAGGAGAGGTACCCTTCATCCATTGGACGGCAATTGGAGAAAAGGACGAATATGGTGAAAAATCACGGGGTGGAGGGGATCGGGGAGAAGGGAAGAAAGATCAACGAGAGAGGAGGGAGAAGGAAGAAGGAAGATGCGAATCACATGGCCAAGCTTATGCAGAGACGGTGTCGGATGAAACGGTCGCTAGCGAAATGGATTCGAAACCTTAGGGCTCAGCAAGATCGCTGCCTCTATCGCGCTTTGGTGGGCTCCCCAAGGTGGACAAATTCCTCTTCATGGACCCTCACCTTAGAGCGTTGCTCCGCGAACAGGCACCTGGAAAGCGCCTGTACAACCACTTCTTTGCACGTGCGGCAAACATACGGCACACTTTAAATTGGGCGAAGTTTGCTTTGTGGATCCTGACTCGGGCCAGTTCGCTCACATTGGCCGACCCGAGGCTTTTGCACCCCACGATGTTGCTGTCGATCGTGTACGTCTGCTGGTACATCGTTTCCATGGGTTGTGGGAGAACAGATCCTCTACGGGCCCGGCCGCTCGCTCACTTGGCAAAATACCTGGGAAGCGGGTAGGAGGTCCGTCTACACATCCTGGTAGCAGCGGTCCCGAATGCCATGTCTCATGACGGGCAGACAGGCTGCCGCAATCTATCGAGGCTCGGACCTAAATTTGGCGACCACCATCATGATTCCATGGGGTTGGAGCCACCGTCTTTTTCTACCCGAGCCCTTCATATGAAAAGCCCTCGTCTGGCCGTCAACCATCCCTGGTACATGATACGACCGTACAGTCCACCGCTAGCCTCGGCTGAAGGGTACTTGTTGTCGCCCTGATTGGAGAGAACACGCCCAGGTCGACGTGTTCTTGGTTAACCATGCACCTCGGAGACCAGGATGTCCTGATTCCAAAAGTAGCAGGTGTACTTTGTACAGCTCCTACAAGGGATGCAATGTGTTTCGTACCCTGGTCCAATGTACCTGCTC